TTACTTGCGATAGCTGATATTGTTTTTATTCACAATGTTCACAACGTTCACAGCGTTCTGTCGCGTGCTAATTGGTAGAGCAAATAATAGTTATTTAGGTAAACTCGTCATACGTGTGAATGAGTATTAGCAGTCATTACATTACTTTTCCAAATTTTAAAAACAGATAGTTAATTTCACTAGATAATATTTATAATTTTCAAGAAACTAATATAGTTTAACTAAACGTGTCCTATCTTTGGAACACTATACAATAAATTATACTGAAAGTTTATAGTGTGTTTACTGATCTCCCTTTGGCTTTAGCCCAATAGTGTCAACTGTTAATAGACAGCGCACGTGGCGCGATTTAGTGACTGCTCCTTTTATCCTCGGCGCGTCCTCTCGCTTCAAGAGATTTTTCACGATTAATTTTCTAGTGTAGACACTGTCACTCCCATTTGTTGGCAGTTCACCCTTAATAAAAACACGGATTATTTCATAAGCCCTCCAGGCTTTGCTATCTAATTTCCTGTTTGTTTTCATTTGGAGTTGTTTTGTTTATTTACAATAGATACTCATTCCGAAGTGTTGCTTTATTTGATCGAATTAGTAAGTTAATTGATATTCTGAAGTCTGAAATCCAGTGACCAAGTAACTTACTGTAAGTAGGATTTTATAGACGGAAGTTCGAATTAACTCAAATTCAAATTATTTATTTTGCAGAAACACTGTAACACACTGTTTCAAAACACCTTTAACAATGATAACTTAAATTTATCAAGTTCTTTGCCCGTGGTATTAATGTCTGCTTCTCATCATGACTTAATCTTTATCGTGAGATTTACATTAGTGTATCCTGCAGACATACTGGAAAGGGCTACATTTATTTCCAAGTAAATTATTGATGCATCCTCTTTATCTGCTTCGGGCTTAATTGATTTGTCGCTTGCAGCCGTCTATATTCTTACTTCTCAATTACGTTTGGACCCGTGTCTCGTATCGCGAACTGTCGGCCATTTTATTTATGGTACGCCAATTGATTGAATTAGTGGCCCCTGAGGCGCTTGTCCGATACTGACCTGGTTCATTCAAGGCATAATTTATATCTCTAGCGTCGTCCTTTTATTTCTAAAGTCTTTTATTTATTTTAGTTCATAAAGAAGACATTCTGTGTCGATTTAAATTCATTAATTCCAAAATATGGTATAACGTTGCTTGCTTTGTCCTTAAACTAGATTTATATTAGACCGAGTTAAGAAAAAAATGTCCCATAAGATGTGCATGTTCTAAGACTTATAAATGACCTTGACAAGAAATAACTGTTGCTAAAATGTAAATATAAAAAATAATAATAATATGATTTCCTGTTATACATATTTTTATCGTTTAATGGATATACAAAGTATGACTAATTAAGTATCACATTAGAGAAAGAGACCATACAAGTCTTGACGGAACTTGGGTATATTGTATTCTCTAGCGAGTACAGCACGTGTCAGTGATCTGTATCTTTTGCATCACCTGACACATTCATCTCTACGTGACCGGCATCTCCCATTTCTACGACTAAACAGAACTTTATTTGCATTATGTTTGGGTCTAAATGTGCATCTATCATATTCGTACTTACAACTTTTCATAATCGTAGCCCATATTTAATTCTATTTGGTTGGACTGTTGCGTTAGATGGTTAGGAATTCTGACAACTATGCCAGTGGTTGTGAGTCCGATTTTCATTCATAATTATGGGATATAGTTAGTATTTTTTCATTTGGCCTAATTATAAATGAATAGTGATCCTGACTGGTTTGAGCATGATTAGTTTTTCTGTTTTTTTTTGTATTATTTGTTAAAAATTTGCATGACTTTAGAAACATATAAGTAAATTTGTAACCACCAAACCAGAAGCAAATATCTGTACTAGTCATAATAGTATACAGAGCAGTGACATTTATACGATATGGGCGTCCTGACTGGTTTGAGCATGATTAGTTTTTCTGTTTTTTTTTTTGTATTATTTGTTCAAACTATGCATGAATTTAGAAACATATAAGTACATTTGTAACCACCAAAACCGAAAGCAAATATTTGTACTAGTCAAAATAGTATACAGAGCAGTGACATTTATACGATATCATCATCATCATCAGCCTATCGCAGTCCACTGCTGGACATAGGGCTCTCCGATTGCACGCCACTTAGATCGATTTTGGGCCTCTCAATATACGATTACATTATAAGACATGGGCGTTTTAAACAAACTTTTTAAATTAAATTTACTTTAACGTTTTAAACAGGATTTCTATAGTCAATTGAACTACAGAAGCTATCTCACTCAAGTAAAATATTAACGCTACAATTTCTGATCTAATCCTGTACTTATCAAGTGCGGTTAATGAATATTTTAGTAGGAGCGAGTTAATGAAGGAAGTCTCCTTTGTCCTGAGATAGCTTGATTACAATCAGCCTGACAAGGATATAAACTTCTGAATGCGAAACTGAAATTGTTGAACGAAATTTATTATTTATTAGAACATCTTTACATAGTACCAAATGAAGTCGCTTTTGTTCTTGTACGCTTGGATCTTATAAACTACACAACGGCTTTTAATGCGGTTTTTACTAATAGAGATAGTGATTCAAGAGACGGGTTTAAATTAAGTATACATGTAAAGTCGTAAAAACTATGTTTCCGTGCACAATAGAGCATTATTCCTTGTCCAATGAAATATATTAGATACGTTGTGCATTAACTGTAGATTTAAATTGCCTCTTAGAAGATATCAGAGATTTAAAAAGCGTCGACAAAGCGGCCGTTATACGAATTATAAACTAGACAAATATATTATCAATAAATAATCTAAATTTGATAAAAAAATAATTGAAAGATAAATAATATACAATTAAATAAATCCTCATGGTATGATGTTTTCTGTAATAACCTTGTTTTTGGAGATGAACCTTTAAATGAATTAGGTACTTCCTTTTATTTTTAAGTTTACCTAACTAAAATTTAATTTAATTTTGTTTAGCAAGAAGAATTCAAATATTCATATGATATATTAATGCTTTTGTTTTTAATTTTCGACTTTCGGCTCTCGTTAAAAATATACCTACTTCCAAAACAAAAAAGAATTTTCCAAATCGGTTCTTAAATGACGGAGCCCTGAAGTACCTAACTAACATAGAAAAGTACAACCGAATTGAGTTTTATTTTTTTAAGTGTGCTGAAAATAACATCAAATTACTTTAAGGGCACAATACATGTTCTTACATTGATTAAGAAAACAACAAACTAATTGACTATCTGAAGTTTATCAAATAGAAATTGTGAGCAATATACTTATCTAGTAGTTCGTCTTCGGTGTTTGTGTCGTCACCACAAAACAGTTAGGTAACTAATACGTGACTGGCATTCGGTAGTTTCCCAATTGGCACATCCACACACGTGCGCGGAATCGACGCTGGGATCTAATCCAGGGATTTCACTTGTATTGCTAATATTTTATTTCATTTGGGATTCGTAAATCCAAAGTAGACATAAGGATTTTATGAAAATGATTCCTTAGAGCATCGTCTCGTCTACCAGTCATAAAACGCTTTTATGATGATTAGCTAATTCATTTTTGAAAACATTAGCTGAAGTGCACCATTTCAGCTAATGTTTTCAAAAATGAATTAGTTTGATTCCTATCAAGTTAACAGCCCCTTTCTGTTTTCACTAATCTCTTCTCTATCTGATATAGCATTTGGTTGTCATCAACAAATGTCGTCTGTTAATACAATAAAATCAATAATAACTACAATCCTAAAAACTTGAAGGTTAATAATGGCGATCTGATGTGTTTTATCTTTAAATGTGACCCTCAAAAAATCATTTCAACAAAACATCACTTAAATCTGAAATAATTTGTTTTATAAAATCAAGAGTATTCAACATTTTTAACATACTCCTATGATTGCAATTTATAGTTAGTGGCCAATGACAAGTGTTACTTCCGGCGATTTGCATAAAAATCAAATATTAAAATATCTATAACATTGCGTGATTGAACCAACTAACAATGCAAAGCCACTGCCACAACGGCCTAGCTAAAGCCACTGACCTATGAAGTTACTGAAATATACTTACAAGACATTAACTAACCCAAACCCACCAACACACACACAGACACACACACACGAACACATACTCACACACACGAACACACACACACACACACACACACACACACGCATACATAACACGTACACAGCGCATAGACACATATTAGTATAATTTACATTTAGTTATGGAAGAGCGGAGTGTCCTAACACAGGCATTGTTTGCTTAAAAGGAGGCGCCAATCACAAATTAATGCTAAAAGTGTTATTAAATTGAAAAATAAAGATATTTGATTTGGTTTGATTTGAACAATGGCTAGACACGTAGGCAGGAGTCAATTTATTTAGTATCGGGTTTGTCCAGATATATATAATACACTACTCAATAAATCATATTTCTCAATTTACTCTTTCAAATAAAGTTATTAACATACCCATTACCTTAAGTAGTGTAATGTATTTAGAAATAGAGAGCTTAATTTTTTGTAAACAAATTAAGGTCTCTATTTTATTATTCTCTATTTTGTATTATTAACATCAGAACGTTTGTGAAGTTAATAAGTGACTCTTTTCATAAACAAATTATTGCAAGGGTGCACTCGACGAAAATCATTATCATCAAGCTTTTCTTGTGCTTTCAACTATGCAAAAGCCGGTACCGACTGAGTCGGCGCGAAATGACACTAGAGTGGGGGGCAGTAACCCTAAGCCTACGGCACGGGGAGGTTGTGTCGTTCCCTGCGGTAAACACATCGCGATCTCCGCAAACTGTAAACAGTAGCGACTATGTTATGAATAACACTCTAAATAAAATATTCTAAGGCGTTTTTTATGATTTATAATGTGTGTATTTTTAATGTGAGGTTGTAAAATATGAGTTGAGTGTAAAGTGACGTTAATCAGTAGTATCAAGTATGATCGCGGGCCCAATTAAAAGGGATAATCTCGGATGGAACCAGTTCAAGTGCATAGTGCTTTTGAACCTTTTGTTCAGCTTTCCGGTCATCACAAAAGGTAAGTTAAAATTTTCGACCATAAACAAGGCAGCCCATTTTTGGAAAATGGATTAAACTTTGAAAAAACTCGTAAGAAATAAAAAATAAAATAAATTTACTGATCTTAATAAATAAAAATCTCAGATTGTAGCTATTTACGTCTGCTTGTATTATAGTTATTTGGTCTATTATAAAGAGGTTTTTTAGTTTTTGAAATAAGGCAGTGTATATAATTGCACTTTTCAATAGTTATTTTATATAATTACGAGTATATAATACCTACGTACATAGTTTAATGTAGTATAATATTATTAATTAAATATTGGCTATGTTAAAGTAAATGCTCCGTAGCTATAGATTTCATGTACGTAAATATACCTATATTGTTATAGGAGGTATTATGTTTTAGTAATAAAATATTTGTTTTTTTTTAATTAAATATTTTTCAACAAGTATGTAAGGCACCTGCAAAATATTATAATGTCTACACGTCACTTCTTTTTAAAGAGAGAATACAGATTTGTGTTTTTAATAATAATATAAATATTTTTAGTGTTGATTTTAAGAGTTTACGGTCTTAAACATATCACAAAGCCTATTTGTTCTAAGCCCAAAGTCGTGCCCCGCGGATAAAGGAGCATCCAGCGGATACAATTGTGGGCAGAAGTGAACCTGCTACTCTGCGGTGCGTCTCTGAAGGTAAACCGAAGCCGACGATCCAGTGGTATAAGGATGGATCCCCTCTGGCACCTACTGACCATCCCCACAGGGTTCTTCTTGAAGACGGACTGCTGTTTCTTAGGTAAGTCACTAACTTCTTATCCTCTTTTTCTAATCCATATCTAATTTATATTATTTAACGGGAATTAACGCGATCTCTTATTTAGGGTATTACATACCTCTGGTTTGCCTGACGTTTCGACCAGGTTGCACCGGCCGTGGTCACAGGCTTGCCTGCCTGCCTGCCTGCCTAATTCCCGTTAAATAATATTAAGATCGCGTTAATTCCCGTTAAATAATATTAATTATCATGGAACGCGAAAGTTTAAAAGTTAGCATATCTAATTTCTTTCACTAATCTACTATTCTTGTATCTATCCGTCTTTTTCTGTAATAGAATTACTTTACTTTAACAATTTCTTAGGTATCTATTAAATATGTACAAGAATATTATGTAATATGCACGTTAATGCTTTATAAAGGTTGATTTAATTTAAGAAAAAATATAAAACAGTCATTTGTTTACTTTAAGGTTCTGTTTTTTTTTTTATATTAGCTTTTAGTAAGGGAGGTAAAATTTACCTCAGTTAATGAATGCGTTCACAAAAAATATAAAAGAAGTAAATATACATAATCTTCTTCCATTTTCCACTTTCCTGAGGAGAGCTAAAGGATATAAGACTGCGGTCTTCCACGTGGGATTAGTAAATGTATTGATAATTAACCATTTTGTTAGTTAAACATTTTGAAGAATTTACTACTTTAGTTACAAACTTCTTTCTCCTGAGAAAAAACAGCTCCTCAAAACAAAAATTTCTCGATGGAACGTTTTGTTTGCCTAAAGCAAGTAGCCGACGGGTTGGGAAATGTTCTTCATGGTGATGCTATTGTATTGTTGTGTGGTCTCGACTAAAATAGAATCCCTGTATTTCCTTAGGGTGTGTTAAGATGGGATTAAGGGGTTTGTATCATTGATGCGTGACTAAATTCGTTTGTATTATGACCAGCGTTTTGTTATTATTTGGCTACAAGGTAAGTTCTTTGTTACTACTGCGAAGTTATAAAAGTTTGTTATGTACAATGAAGAATATTATTTTCAAAAGTAAATGATTTATCTCTTACTACAATAATCACAGGTATTTAATGTTAGATTGTACGAAATGTATAACATGATTACCTATGTTTGTGTATATACTTTTTTTTTAATTAGTTTACTTGTTAAGGGTTATGACTAAAAATTAAAAAGTTGAAATTAAATATAATATACTCATTATCACTATTTTATTCGCCGTCGGCTCCAAGTAAAGTATACGCTGTGTTAATAATAAACCTTTACGGAAAAATACGGTCCCGTTTCCTTGACTGTTTTCGAAGTTAGAAATACCTACTATGTGCTATAAACATTGTATTAATCGGTCTTGGTGCGTAATAAATATAGGTGTGCTTGGTCAGTAACGTAATCTGAATGTCAAATGATAGACAATATTATAAATGCGTCGGAATATTACGCGGGTTGAATGTTTTTTAAACATTTATATAAAGAATAAATGTAATGTCACGTATTGAGTATTGATCATGCTTCAGCCATGCATTTTGGCTTCCTGGTAATCTGTAGAAATAAAACTGTATTTAATTTTAATGCCACCTTTGCAAGAAAGTCAGTGCTCTCTGTCCTTTTCTTTTAATTTCATTTTTTTTCTCAAATAATATATAATTAAGATTTCCCTGCTGATAGCACAGTTGCGAGTCAAAAAACATAGAAGGCATTGACTTCGTTTTTATCTCGTTTTTTACACTTGTGTGCTAACTGATCTGCCTCATTAATTAAGTTTTTTGGATGTGTTAATTAAAGGCGGTACAATGTGTAGTTATTACATAACTATATATAGATATCGTTTAAAAGCTGATCGTTAATTTCTTAAGAATCACACAAGTATTTATTTAAGATCTAATTCGCTCTCGATACTGCGTTAAAAAAAAAATCATTTTTAAATTTAATGTCAATGCATATCAACGCTTTAAAATAATAAAAATTAAAGGGTACCTTATAAAAATTAATTCATCAAATAGTTGTTAAAATTACTCATATAGAACCAAACCGCTGCTGTCTGTTACGCAATAGGATTAAAGTATAAACAAGTACAGTCCCTTGAACATTATGGCCAACATTCATTTAATCGTTAAATTGTAGGGTTATGCGAGGCAAGAAGGAAAATGATGAGGGTGTGTACTGGTGCGTCGCACGCAATTCTGTCGGCGAAGCGGTCAGTAAGAACGCCACGCTTACTATTGCCGGTAAGAATTCCAAAATTGCGTGTTAGGTCTTTACAATCATGTTTAAGTACTTTAATTTCGAGTTTAGCTACAAGGGTCACGTTTAATAACTGTGCCAACAGCCCAGGTATGCATGTATGAGTATCATTGGAATATTACATAACTCTTTATTCAGTCTTAGTATGCATTTGAAAATCAACTTAGTTCGACAAGTATCGAAAATGAGATCGAAGATCGAAAATATCAAAATATAACTATGTTAGAGATTGTATGTTAAGTGAACAATAAGCTGCTTTTATTTTAGTTCTACGAGACGACTTTAGAACAGAACCTCGAGATGTCAAAGTAGCAAGTGGTGAACCCGCCACACTTGAGTGCTCTTCTCCTAAAGGCGTCCCTGAGCCAGGCGTACACTGGACTAAGGACGGACAAACTTTAGATGCAGAAGTTAACGGGAGGTAATTAATTTTGCACGATACAATACAGACTATTTTGGTTTGCAATTGTGCCTTCATATTACACCGTCAGTTGGTTTTAAATTTATAACTTTCTGGTGAGAATAACCAAATAACCAAATGTTCTACATGGCCATATTTATCAACTTAACGATCTGCCTAAGGCCTGGCGCCATGTGTTTCATTTTAAGAATAAGTTACGAGACATGAGAATAAATATGCAATTCTACATGAAATTTATAATCTTAGTCATCTGTAATAGTAATAACTTCGAAATAATATATTTGTTCCAGGATTATGGTAGGAAATAGTGGTGATTTAAAAATACTAGAAAGTCTTCCAACCGATAGTGGTGTATATAGATGTATAGCTTCTAATGTAGCTGGAGAGAGACAATCACGTCCTGCGACATTACTCGTGTTACGACGACCACATTTTCTAGTGAAACCTAATAACATAACGGCACTTATAGGCCAGAACGTCGAATTTCACTGTCAGGTAACTACCTATGTGGAAAACTGAACCATGTGCTCATTCGAGTTGATCATTAGCTTTAATGTTTTCTTGTGTGTTTTTACTTAGACGATTATGTCTTTGATTTGCTCTATGAAAAGTCGCTCTATTATGATTATATTGACTGCGTCAGTATTTTTACTATAAACAAGAATTTTTTTTAGGCATCACCAGAATCAGATGTTTCAGTAACTTGGTCTCGTGACAGCGGTGCATTATCACCATATGCGATCATTCGCCGAGGTTCTTTAAGAATTGATCGGGTTGTAGCTACCGATGCTGGCGCTTACACATGTCGAGCAGAAAGTCAGGCAGGGACCAGTGTGGCCAGTGCTATGCTTACTGTTCATTGTAAGTACAAATCTCGTGTTTAATACGAGAAAAAACCTAAAAAAATGATTTTTTTTTAGTCAAAATGCAATATTTCTTTTAGCTCTACCTCATTTTACACGGGTACCTTCAGACCAAACAGCGTGGGAAGGTGAGGCGGTTTCCTTCCCATGTGAAGCAGAAGGTTCACCGCAACCAATAGTTTTTTGGACTATGGAAGGATCTCAGGCAAGTTTCGATGATGTCCTTGCACCGTGGATTAAGAGGTTGATATGATTAGCTCATGTAAGAACTTTTTCAGGAGCTAGTATTTCCGAAAACTACTCACGGTACTGGGTCACTATATTTGGATAGGGTTTCAACGCAACATGCTGGTCGACTTACTTGTGTAGCTGTCAGTGCAGCTGGCAGCGCGTTACACACAGCGACTTTACAGGTACTTTAGTCTATCAATTTGTTTTTGTGAAATATTATCTTTTAAACAAAACAAAAGTTGCTTACTTGTCTTGTCCATCCATTTTAGGTGTTAAGGAGAGAGGCAAATTCTTTTAATGCAGATTTAGAATCATCGTCTCCCTACCCAGAGTTGACTAAATCGCAGAATCATCCACCAATGACCCAGTATGAACTGGTGCAGGCTCGTCGATATCTACAGCAAGACGTTTTGGCCCTAAGAAGAGTTGAAGGAACATCAGCGACAACCCTTAAAATTGTTTGGGATGTAGGTATCAATGTAAATATTTTTAGATAATCTATTATTCTTATTTGATGTTTGAGTAAAAACATTTTGTTTCAGGTTCTAACAGATTACAACGAATATTTAGAAGGAGTAAAAATATGGTTTAATGGGACATCCTTAAACAAACAATATGTTTTCGTAGAAGATTATGAGCATTTTAATGTATCTTACAAAGAAAGTTTACTCGAATTCAAGAAATTCGAAAACTTTTCAATGACTACGGTTCACAATAGTGGCTCATCTAGTCATGTTCTAACCGGTCTACTGCCATATGCTCAATATAATGTGTTCCTAATGCCGTTTTATAAGTTGTTGTTAGGTAAACCTTCTAATATGAGGAGTGGCGTTACTGAAGAGGATTGTATGTATATATGAGTAACTATTTATAGCAATAATAAAACGACATAAATAATAATACGTTGATTGTGTTTTAGTTCCATCGGAACCACCGCAAAGTGTCACTGCTGGAGTGATAAATGCAACGTCTGCATGGATTCGATGGGATCCGCCGCCCCCGCATACATGGAACGGAGAACTCTCTGGATATTTGGTAGCAATCATTTTGTCATTTGTATATTATTTATGGTATGACTTTTTCATTTATTCTTTGTTTCTGATTCTTTGTTTTAGATTGAAGTTCGGGTGGGTGGAAGTACCGGAGGTCGAGTAGTAGGTCAAATGTCTTTGGGCGCACGTACTCGTGCAGCAGCGGCAAGTTCACTGCGCGCGGGAGGAAGGTATAGCGCTCGGGCCGCTGCTGTTACGCGACGTGGTCACGGTCCCTTCAGTGCACCTGCTCAAATACACATGCTACCGACGCTATCTCAACGACACTATGTGCAGTAAGTAATTTTTATCGCCTTTACCAAATTAAGAACTAGGAAATGCAATTTAAATGTCTTGCCTATTATTTTGTTTCAGAACGGAACCAGCAACAGATAAAGCAATAGTGTCTATTTTCCATGAAACTTGGCTGCTAGCATTGTGCCTAACTTTGCTTCTATTAATTTTAGTTGGGACTGGCATTATTGTTTATATTCGAATAAAACAAACGAAGCAAAGGAAAAATCAAAACACAACTGGTAACTCGAATAGTTCACATTTTATACATTGAATAGACAGATCTTTATTTTAGTGTGTAGTATTTGACTACTATAATATTAATTTTACAGGCACAGCAATAGTCAACGCTCAGCAGTGTCTTTTAGGTAAAGAGGCAGTTTGGTTAAGAGAAAGGCCAGTATTTGAAGGTTCTAATGAACCTCGAATCGAAATTTTAAACTGCCACCAGAGCCTTTTGCACGGTAAGAATAGATTTCAAAGTACATGAAAATGAAAATAAAAAAGCAATTTAACATTAAAAACTTCTCTACGAAATTTTAGGTGGTCATTCTATAGGTACTATGGCTATGGAAGCAGAGTACAGTCTTCCGCAACATACGAATGTTATGAATCCAATACATGAAGAGATGCAAAGAAGAATACAGCCCGAGCCATATGCATCTAGTGCAATTTATACTGAATTAAATTATCAGGTGGGCAATAATATATCCTTTCCTATCTACTTTAATAACTGTTTCTTAACAATATTTATAAACAACATCTTGTTTTAGGGCCACACAGACGCAGAAGACTCATGTATGAAATGTGCCGTTAGTCCTGGATCTTATGACAACAGCATGGTCAGATCATTCGGAGATAGTAATCAATATTCCAATGAAGAATGTTCAACTTGCTGTAGGAGCAGCAGCTCCACATTGACAAAGGACTACAGCGAAATGACAAAATGTGGTAACGACGACGAAATGCAAGAAATGTCAATAGAAGATTGCCCATCTTGCAAAACAAACCATTCGAGATCTTCAAGCCATCACGAAGCTAACAAAGAATGGGCTATGGCTGAAGTAGAATACGATTATCCTCAGTGGCATTGGCTGGGACGAGAAAATACTTTTCGACAAAATAATCAGGAGGTGCGATATGCAAGTGAAGGACGGAGTGATCAAGATTGTAGAATGAATTTATGTGATATCTTACCTCCACCACCTTACGAAAGGTAAGAATGATTAGATGAAATAAAATATTGTTTTTTTTCTAATATGACCTTTGTTGAAATTTAATAAGGGCCATAACACTTCTTAAACCCTTTTTAACACAACTATTATGTATTGTCTACAGAGAATCTCCATATCGCGAAATGCATGCATTCACCAATCACTCAGGGACTTCAGGTTGTTCAGGACATACGTATCGAAGTTAATTAATTTGTAAATTAATATCATTAGTGTATAATACAAGCAATAATACTTTTTAGTGAAATGTACAAATGTATAAAAGGTTTTTGTATATTATGGATAATGTAATAAGGTTGATATCTATGACACCGTCGAGTAACGCTGAACAGTTTCAATCAATAATGTCAGAAAAAATGAAATCATTTTCAATCTTTATGAAATTTAACTTTATGAACTATATTAAAGTTTGAACTGCAATTTAGTTAATTCTAATTATAAACAACTCGTCTGTTATATATTATTTGTATAGACGTATTGAATATTTTCACGAACCTGTCACGATGAACGGCGGTGTAATAGCCGGCTTTGAAGATTGTAGTTCTTGTGAATGTGTTTACAAATAGACTGCTATTTAACGTAATGTAGGCATTAGGTTTCATCTTTCTCTAGTGACTGTGATATAGTATAATTTCGTATTCAAATTTACGTTTTATGTAAATATTTTGAAATGTTTGATATCCTTATACAATTTTATCATTAACGTATTTATTGTGTGTAGTGAATTAATGATTCGGATGAATACCAAACTTCTAATTGGATATTTTAAAATAATCACAGTTGTGTATCATTTTATACTGAAACAGGATTCCTACGAGTATATTGTATCGAAAGGTAATTTGTACTATATAAAACCAGCTTCATTAAACTGGATACATTTTTAACTGTGTTTTATTGATATTGTTTTTATTTCAGATTTTTAAATATTTTATATTTATTACGCATGATCTTGGTAATATCATTTTTAATGTATCTTTAGAATACCAATTCAAAAGTGGGTCAAAATCAATAATGAAGTCAATTGAAGTTATTTTAAGAGAATTCTTTTTTGAGCTACTGCAAAGAGGAGTTTCTTCATAAATGCTTTTTTTCTTATTTATGTTGTAGCCTTTATAAACTGATATTTTTAAATATTTTTAAGTTTCTCTTCCTCAGAAGGAAGAAGAAACCCTTACAAGGTCATAGTGTTGTATGTATGTAACGACCAATTTTGCCGGGAACGCATGGCAATATCAAGAGGTGCTACTCTCAAAAAAATAAAATTTATGGTATTTTATGGTAAAATTTCAGTTTCTAAGACAAAACAATGAATTGATGGTTATTAAAACATATATGATACTTCCCATTGACCTAACATACCACATGAAAGTATGGTGCAAAGCAGAGACTCACAGGAAAAATAATGCAAAATCGAAAAGTCGTATATCACATCACAACTTTAAATCGAAAAAGGTGTTGCATAAAGTATATTAGTTTTGTAAATATAAATTAATCGCCTCTTCTACATAGCTGTATTTATAATGCCGATGTAATTGATTTCAGACTTCCTTGGTAATTGAATGTACTACTTTATGTTAAATGTTGTAAATCTAACCAATTTGTAATCGGTTTCGCACATTTCACTTATATTGCTCACTATTGAATGGATGAGCATCGTGATCATAAACGTCGTGATTATGTTCAATAAAACTTTCTTTTTATGACAGACTTTATTACGGAACGTTTACTACATTTTCGTCTCAGTATCGCGGTTATTATTCTCTTATGTAATCGTCCTGAGAGAGTCGTGCGATTTGGAAGGAGCAGTGAGCTACTTTGTATGTAACGTTTTACTATTCTTAAGAATGGAATGAATTTGAATGCCTTTATTGTCATCTAACGAGAAAACTTTGAAATGTAGAGTAATTACTAATTTTTGCATAACACAATGAAAGTTAGTTATACGAACCAACTTTCATTGTGGCCACTTTATGATGACGACGGCAAATGTAGGCAACATTTGCCGTCGTCATCATAAAGTGGCCCGTTTAGTTGGTGACCCGGTTGGTCATGACGCCTATTTACAACATTAAGACATTTTCTCGTTTATAAAATGTGATCAATTCTATTTTACAAACTATACTTTTCTTAGTAAACACAGATTACAAGACAGTGTAAAAGTCAGTTACTGATCTTCATTTTTGTTTTAGTGCAGGCGAAGAGTCAGTAGCAGTTTATTTGATAAACATATTGAGCTTACTTTTTTTTATGGAAGAGGTGTCAAACGAACAGAGGGTCACTTGACGGAAAACGACTAACGCCGCCCATGAACGATTACTAAAGAGGAATCACAAGCGCGTTGCTGGCCTTTGAAGAAGAAGTACGCTCTTTTCTTGAAGGTTTGAAGATCGTATCGGTCCGGAAATACCGCAGACATTAACTTGTTCCACAGATTGGTTGGGCAAAGCAATAGGTGTCTTACTTATAAACTAAATCTACTTAAACAGAAAATTTCTACGTTCGCTTAGTAAATGCATGCATTGGAGCAAAAGGCCTCGTTTAAAAGACGTAAAAAAATATTTGGGTACGATTCAATTGTTGTTCAGTATGCTAGTAAAGCTTTCTTTCTCCAGCCAATACAAAAAGCCTAATACTGGAAATTCTAAATAGGTACATTTAACCTAATTTTATGATGCTTTCATTGAGCAATAACGAGTCTAAGACTTTGATTGCCTTACACAAGGTTCAAGAAGCACAATTAAAAATACTTTAGTGTGCAATAAACTCGTGGACTGCTTGTAAACCATCGCAAATGAATTGTAAAGTTAACACTTCAACCGGTACAACGATTTAAAATACCAATAAAGGTTTTAATTAAACGTTTGGAAATACGGAATTACGGTCGACCCCAGATCCGTTTAGTAAACAATAGTAAACAAAACATTTCTGATAAATATTTGGATTTTGAATTTCTTGTCTCTGAGTGTCATAAATGTGGGTGGAAATACTACATAGTTAATCTCACTACTTTAAAACATCACAATCAATTTCTTTATCTATTGTAGCGATTGTACTTTAAGCAAAAATAAAAATAAGAGGATTACAAAAAGGCAAAAGTTGTTTTTTATGTCAATACAAGTAGTTGAAAGGTGTGTAATGCCTAGTAACTCTAACTAGAGAACGTAAGGGCAAAGACGTAGAAACCGTCGTACAAATGTGTGCTTAGAAATAAATAGAAGAAATCTGATCGTGGTCACCGGTGGACTTTATCCACCAATAGTTTTGTAAGTATCAATTTAAACATATAATATTTATAATTACGAATGTTTAAAACAATTGCAACAAAATTGCGATTTTTACATAGGAATAATTAAGATAAAGTATAATATTAAGCTAAGATGCTAGAGGAGCAACGGTTTGATCTTAAAGTTCATGAATGCTATCTTCACAGTGACAGCTTCAGCAATTAAGTACAGTTTAACCGGCAACGTTAACAAAAAGATTTAAGCGACATTGGCCTAGAGCCTTTTACAGCTACCTTTACTATCAAGCAAAATAGAAATTGTTATAAACCTGGGGTAATTGTAATAAAAAACAAATTAGTGTCTCTTAGACGGCGATGCTTTCTTTGAGAGACTGATGCTTTCCAAGTAAGCTTATCCATGTACACTTTACCGCACCAACTAAGGTCATTGGCTGCATAGTTATGTAATAATTAAATTTATGTGTACAAATGCTGTAAACCTAAAGAGTTTCTGTGATTGTTTGTAAGTGGTCGTGCCTATTTACATCTACGAGTATATAGCCGGTAAGCGGGCGCCCGTATGTTACATTACTAAAAAAATATAATAGAAACTTTATTAAAATCGACATCAATATGGTTTGTTTTCTTAAAATTGAAATTATCTAGAAATTACATTCCTTCAGTTCCTAATCTCATTTAAGTTTAACATTAGTTAAGCAAATGTAGAATTCACTACGTTTCCATGCTCATGGTGCGTTATTTTCTTAAAACATATTTAAATAAGGCACATAATGAAAATACTTGATACAAGCAGTAACTGTATAAAAGCGTTGGTTAAGTTTTGTAGTACTAATAGTTTAAAATTTCCTGAACCAGAATGTAATTAAAACCAGCCCAATTAATAGTTTTCCCAAACTAATGGCTGCAGGGAAATATAAAAGGTTTTATTTTTAATATACTGCTACACTTCCGCCTCTAATTAAGCCGGGGAACATAGTTATAACCCCAATTTAGCTTGATAAGGGTCGAGATTGCAGTTATGAGTATGCAAGTTTTCACCCTGATATTAGCCTTCACGTTTTCTTATTAAAAAATATTTACGTCATCATAGGCCGTATACCTAATTAAAACTTTAGAATAGGGAATAGGTCAAAATTTAGTCGTTAGTGTCCGTTTGCAGTTTTTGGTAACTAGGAATAGAAAGTTTTAAGCAAAGTTCAAAAATGCAGAAAGAAGAAATGGACCCCACTGCTCAGTGGATTGGAGTCTATATCAATGTAACAAAACCCGCAGTTGAATATTAGTTTTCTAATAATTGTAATGTTGTATCGCTGAGATTGATTGAAGTTCTAATGGGTACAAGAAAGAAGTGGTTTTTTTTATTTAGAACGTCAAACGTAAATAATTAAGTTAAAGTGTGACAGAAAAGAAATTCTGACCTTTGTAAAAAATTAGCCTCGAATACAAAAAAGATGGTTTTGAATCAGTCTAGTAGTTAGTGTTTTAAGTCCACGCGTTCAACCAAAAACCAATTTTTATTGAATTTTATTTATTTATTGTATAAAGTAAAAACAGTAACGAGAAGCCTACCAAAATACCGCATCTAACATTAGGAAGAGGTCACAAAGTGCAAATCTTACTTCAAAACCGATTCCGTTGACATCACCAGCGTCTAGATGTCATTACCGGCACATGAAAAGTAGTACAATTACACGAGTAATCAGCTTTACTCATAAATAAGTAAACATGTATTTGTGCGAGCGGCACTCGCAGGCTGTGTCCAAACGGAGGGCGTTGCCATGACAGCAGGCTTCACCTCACCCTAGAGTGCACCCTTGTTATTAATACCGGTAATAATTAAACTTGATTGCATTTCACACCAGGTGTTGGATGACTCGACTCAAACTAATAAATGCTTCTATAGAACTATGGGATAATTTACTTGAAAAGATTAAGACATTTTGA